TCATTAGCTTCCACGAAGGAGAGTTCTTTTGCCGATCGGCTGAACAGTGAAACAGTGGCCGCTGGTTCTCAACCACTGAGTACTCATGACCACTAGTCAGGAATTTATAGTAATTCATCAGAGTAACGCTAACCAGCTCTTTCAGGGTTCGCGACAGGCCTCCACGGCTAACGTACAGACAAAAGGAGAACAGTCTCCACGCGGTCCTGCAGCGTAACCAGTAGCCAATACTTTAAGGGTATTTCATCCTGCAGAGCAATCCCTTACTTACTTTGATCGTTGTACTCTCCCTGCGACTAGGACGGGAGGATGGTTATTAGGAAGCAAATGAAGTAAAACCTGTGGCGCTCCGTTGCGACATTACTTGGCTATCTACCAGTTTCCCGTTAGAAATATGACCTTGATGTACACATTAAATATACATGTTACTAATAATTTAACTAATAAACATCGAAGTGTGATACAAGTTCTACATGTCAATAATGATAGTCTAAAATACCATGGGTCTTTTCAGTAATTTATCTCCATGATCAAGCAATTTGCACAGAGGTAACAGAAAAATCTGTGACAGGTATAACATTTCTAAACAAATGGTATACATTACGCCGGTACTGTCATAGCACAGATTCGCGAAATCTAATCGATGCACTTGGTTCAATAAGGTGCAAAGCGCTGTAATCCTGTAACGATTTTTTTCCCAGCAAGACTACATCGGTATATCAAAAGCGATGTTTATTGAACAATAACAATGAAACATTCAAACACGAACAAGTGAAAGAACAGGTTTTTCAAATTCAAATAAACTAAACCCTATTAAATTACACCGTGAGACAGTCGCATAAAATTCAAATTCATCGAAGCAACGTTTTAAAGTAAGCAATTTACAATAATTTGCTTGTTGACAAGGACTACGTGGTCTATTAAGCAGTAACAATGAAAAACGCCAGAACCAAGTCACAACAATGCTTCGCTTCGATCAATTAGTCATAGTCTACAGTCAGTACCAATGGGTAAATAATATTTCGTCAACTTTTTTCAGTGTTGCAGCTGATTTCAGCCAAGGGGTACGCGAAACAGGAAGAGGAACTTAAGCCGGTGGCATCTGGTCTGCTATATCAGATTTTTCTTTCCAGCACTAATTCGCATTTGAACAGCATTTCAGAAGAACTACCAATGGTACGGTGGGTCGCTGGTGAAGCAAGTTTTCGGTTCAGCCAGTCAGCGTGACATTCACAAATCCCTTCCCTGAATTCGTACGGCAAATTCGTTCCGTTTTTCTGCAACTAACGGCTATATATATATATATACGATTGGCATATATTGATGTTCTACTGCATTTGCTTGAAAATTGCTCTGGTGCTACTAAACAATTCCAAAACAAAAAGTGGCTATCTTCCTTCTAAACATGATAGTATCCAATATTTCGAATGATATTCAATTCTATATCATCAAACTTACCTTGTGAACTGGATATGGCATCGGTGAATTTGGGCAGTCTCTAATGATGTTCTTCGTAGATGTTTATGCCCTGCAGAATCCGAGTGTTTCATTCCAGCAGGCCATTTT